GCTCCAGTCCTTCGATTCAAGCGAGCCCTGATCGAACGATCCTGTTCTGCCATGATAACAGGCTCGATGATGCGCGGCGGCAGTGTCGGTGGTGTAGGGATGACAGGTGGTGACACCTGCCTTCTCGGTTGACGATTCTGAGTTAGGGAAGGCCTAGGAGTTGTGGATGTGGTAGGCTGCTTCCCTAACTTGACCTGCTTCCTGTTCTGTCGGCAGGTCCTCTCGATCTCGGGATCTAGTGGCAGTAAATTGCCAGTCGTCCTCCTTGGCATGCACGAGGAGGATAAACCTGAAAAAAATTCACCTACACACTAACACCCAGATCAAAATAGTTCACTCACAAAAATCAACAAAAATAAGGTATGGCAGTCCCCGGCAACGGCGCCAAAAACTTGATAGGGCAAAAGCGTAATGCCAAATTCCTATCTTGTAGTAATCCGGAAAGTCCGGGTATCGTCTCTCAGGGACTGGTACAACCTTATGATTTATCAATTATTTCGAGCAAACTATATGTGAAAATGTTTAAGAGATGAAATTATGAACTAAAAGCAAAATTAACTAAACAAATTAAGCAAGTGAAAACTGTCGGGTTTAATTCAATGGGAGAAAGCTCTGGAGAAACACCGGGATTTACTACTTATCCTATCCAGATTAATTCACACATTCCAATAAGTTTAATCCAACTCTCTACAGCCAGGATATCATGAATGTGCTAGCTATCCCTGTCGGGAATTACTACGTACTAAATAATCAATTCAAATCCTACTGTCGTAGCTCAATGAATTAACTATATAGTCTGAAGATCGATATCCTATTTAAGACCGCATAGCACCATATTTAATCCACTGTCGCTTCGATAAGTTACTATGTCACATGAAATAGGTTCAGTTAATAGGGTTTCACTGTCGCTAATAACCTAATTAACTACGATTCAATGTATTGGTGGCCAGTCAACACAAAGCATTAAGAAATTTCATGCAATAGAGATTGGAAGAAAAGAATCATAAATCAATCCATCAAATCAAGAAATAGCTACATCCTATGGTGTTTCCCCCAGAAATTGGGGTTTAGTTCATGACGAAATTAAGATAAAACGATAGGGTTTTGTTCATCATGTTCTAAATCAACAAGAAACAACTAATCAGGTTTAGAAAATCCAACCAACTAATCGCTCTCGTTGAACTCAGCTCAAGTAGCCTTGGACAGCTCGATCGCCAATAGCCGCTCGATGCTTGGACAAGCTTCGCTGCGCTGTTTCTTTTTGCTTCCCTCGCTCGCTGCTGCTTTTTGCCTCCCAGAGATCCCTCGTTCAACTTAATTCCGGAACTTCCTTCTCATTTTATTCCAATCCCCTGGCTGCCTTTCTTATTCCTTGCCCAGAGATTAATTCCCCCAGAAGCCCTCCTGTCCAATTCTTTTTTTGTCCGTCCAAATAAAATGGCCCAAAACCACTTCTGTCCAAAAAGCAATTTCGTTCCCCCTTTTGTGGCCAAAATCCTCCGCCCACAAAATTGTTCCCAAATATAATTAGTCTGCTCCTTCCGGTCCAAGAGACTCCGTCTCCTTGTGGCCCAATTAATTCCCATCCAGCTGGGCTTGAAGCCCAGCATTCGAGAATTGTTTGCCGGTGCAACTTCTTTTTTCGTGTTTTCTTCACCTGTAATACATCAAACTCATGGCACTAGGCAGTAATGGTGTTTCAACCATTCTCGGGTTAGCGAGCCCTAAATTAGCACCAATCGGCTAAAACATACCACGGATAATCACATAAAGTCCAAGAATCCGATATATTAAAGCATAATATCACCCTCCGATTAGAGACAGAGAGGAAGAGCAAGGCTTGAGAGGAAGGTCTTCGACTCCGGCATGGGTGAGGGATGTAGGAGCTATCGGCGAAAGAACACCAAGGCCTCGAGATGAAGGTCTTCCAAAGATTGGAATATGAAATGTTTGGGAAGACTCGATCAGTCTTGAGAGAAAATATATGGGTAGGCTTGAGAGGAAGATCTTCGATTCCGGCGCAGAGGAGGGTTGCAGGAGCTATCGGCGAAACACACAAAGGCGGCGAGATGAAGGTCTTCGATTACGGTAGGGATTGGAAGACCGATTTCCGGTGGGAGTTGGGAGGCAGAATGCGAAAAAGAAAAGGTTTGCCCATAAAAAAAAGGTTTAGTGAATTGACGGATAAAATCCTCCGCACTGTGCGGTGGTTTCAGCAGGTGCTGACGTGGCAAAAGATGTATTTTAACATTTCCTTATAGTATTCTGTAGACTTGCGCCTACGCTTCACTTTATGTGCTAGGACCTGAAATGTGACAAAGGAACACAAACTAGCGTAAAATATGCCAAAGAAGAGATAATGCAAGCTTAAACGATCAAGAATCAAAGGGGAAAATATGTGCAAATATCGAGTCATCACCCATCCACTTTTTTAAATTTAACCTTTTGTATTTGCACGACATGGACTCAAGCCCATTCCTGGCATCAATATGGAATTTGGAACCATTTCATGAATTCAGAACCAACTTAGTAGTAGTGAAATTAGACATGTATAGGCTACATAATTGTCCAATTTAAATATTCTATAAAAAAGGATAGGATACTTAATCTTAGCAGAGGGTTAACTCAGGAAAAGAAAAATAAGTCTATCTAAATTCTTTTGCAGGTAGAGCACACAAATATCTACCTTCATTTTTTTACTTCATAACAAATATGAACCTGTTGGAGAGAAGGTAGCTTGGACTATACCACCCAATCCCTCTTTCCAATGAAATGAACAAATAGAATATATATATGGTGGCTACTTCGGCGCACTCACTTTTTTGGGTGCACTCAGTGCATCCAATTCTAAAAGTGTACATAGTAAATCAAATTTTGAACTTTAATTAGTACTCTCAATCTAATATGATGATATGACATAGAATCATAACAAATCAATCTATTACCCTAACCCATTAACCTTCAATTTTGAATCCCAACCCAAAATCCCAAATTGTAAAACTAAACCCTAAATCCCCAAATCCGAAATTCTTCAAACTAAAGTAAATTTTTAATGATTTTTTTTCAAATTCATGTGCTTCTTGTTCATAATATCATAAGCAACAATTGATACCGTTTTGACATGAATCACATGCTCAGAATAACAATTATGATGCGAGTACACTGAGTGCACCCAAAAAAGTGGGTGCACCGAATACGCCACCATGTATATATATATAATCCATCCACCTGACAACAAGTCATAATCCAATGTAAATTAGGAAAAGCTTAGGAATTTAAAACCATGTTCATCCAAGAGCAAACCAGCAACATTCAGTCCTTAGCAATCACATGAAAAACTCTAGAACACAAAACAAATGCAATAAAAAGATGCTAGCTGCGGCAAATTCTTCTTTGGCGTTGCAATCACTCCAGGGGCATCTTCCTCTTCAATTTGTTGTATGGAGTTGCATCAGAGTCCACTGATATTTTTATCGCTTTTTCAGCAGCAGACTATCCAGTCTGATGAGAGGAAGGTTGGGAAGACTCAATCCCACTCGTAATAGATGAAGATGATCCATCTTTGTGAATCATAGAACCTTCTCCCTGAGATTATAATATACAAATGTAACATTAGCCAGTAAAGAGGTTATAATAGGATTCTGGTATGGGAAAGAAAGACTACAACTTAGATCAAATCTGAGGCAGAAAAGTGATCATGACACTTAACTCTTATTTAAGGGGGAAAATACTTGCAGGGGTATCTACTGACCTGTAGGGGGGGTGTTGTTCTAGTATTTTCAGCACAGTAAAATCAGCTTGGGCATCATCAAAAGGTTGATCTTGAATTTGACATGGAATTTCTTAGTAAGACCCACCAGCCGAAGCAATTCCTCAGGTGGCAAGTCACCATTCTGCCCACTTTTCTAGAAAAGTTCATGACAAGTCAATCCAAAGTACTGCTTCACTTCATACTCGAAGAGTACAAATGCTGCTGACTACGAACCATTTTGAACCTCAAGCTGAACACGATATCTACACAAATCATGAATTTCAAATAAAATTAATTGAAGCAATTACAATTCAATGAGGAAGAATAATGAATGTCAACTAAGTGGGAGATGTTTACTTGGAAGCCTTGACTGATATTGCCTTGCTGCATCTAACACAATAGTACTTATTATGCCTTTGTATAGGCTTCAAAACACAGGTAGCACACTCCATGTAACACCAGCCTGATTTAATTCCGACAACTTTGCACTCAACAGCAAATAGCATTTCCTAATACCAAATAGCTTTACTATGATTCTATAATGAAACTCAAACGCAAATAGTATAAGAAATACGAAAGACCATAGAAGTAACCTCCTGGTCTGGATCCTCTTGTAATTGGAGAAGTTCACAAAGTGAAATATCAGGGAACTGATGAGGTGGTGGCGGTTCCACAAAGACGGGCAGCACTGGTTGCACAACACTGGTTTGAAGAAAAAAATCAATAAATAAGGAAAAAATAAACAACGAAGCAATGTCATAGACAAAGTAGGTTGATGAATACCCGGTAGCGAAAGCTTTGAGGACTGGGATATCGAGGTTACGATACACAACTGTTGACCATGAAGATGAAAATGACAACTCACCTACAAATGCCAAAAAATCAATGTGCTCTTGCCATTCATACCATCATTATACTTAAGGCAGAGAAGAAATAATAAGGTCACCTTTGAATTGACCCACACTAACAGTTGTAATGACCAGTATAGTCTGATCATCACCATGATCATCAACGATCTTATCGAACTGTTCAATAACTCTTCCCCAAATAACCATTTTGACAACATCACCCCTACATGAATTTGAAATAAATATCTAAGGCGTTTAAAGAATTGGCCGTGCAAACAAACATGAATGGCGGAGTTGGAATACCGCTTCCTCAACGTATAAAAGAAAAAACAACCAGATAAAAGCAATTAGATTCAACATATGTTTTCTAAATGTTAATCTAGTGAAGATATCAAAGAAACTCAATCAATCAGTTGCAATGTGATCTCCTTCCTTATAGTTTTCCGAGTAAGGTTGGTAGTAGTAATTGCCTCTGAATGTGTGCGCAATTGGCCAACAACATCTACAATGAATCATGTAGTAAAATAAAATCTTATACACATTGTTTGCTAGCTGAAGAGACATGTAAGAATGAAGAAGTAACCTGAGAGGATGATAATATGACCCAGTTTGTCTGCCATCTGACTTGCATTCAGGAAAGTGAAATCGAAGGTGGGAATTGCAGGGACTTCAGGAACATGATGAACAATAGTTTTCCTACTAAATTGTATAAGATATGGATTCCCAATAGGTCGATATTTCAGTCCAGTTGTATTGATATCAAATTTCTTGATAGTGTAAACATGGTTTTCCTTCAGCAACTTCTTAAACTTTTCTATCAACACAGGGGGGATGTGTATCCAGATATCATTGCCCTTCATAATGGAAACAAAAGTAAATTTTAAAAAATAGTACTCATTTTGGAACAGAAACTTCATACATCATGCGAGAAGTGATTACCTTTGAATCCATGAGAATGAGGTCCAAATGGAGAACTTTGTGTGTATGTACATTGACTCCAAGCCACATTCTAGAGACACGACATTGACCTGACCAAAATTTCTTATCGGAGTCGAGGTCTCGAATGCTCTGGGAATACATCCAGAATCTTTCTTATCACACAGAAAAAGAAAAAGAGGTTATTCGAGAGCTACGGGATTGCAGCAAATCAGTAGAAACAGTTACAAAAATTACAGGCGAATTGATACCTGGGAGAAATGCAAATGAGCAAGGAAAATTGTGAACTCCTTCCTCTAAGCTGATATATATTTCCCGAAGACAGTAGCAGTTACTTCATCTTTGAATATGCCACGCCGGCCACACAAAGCTACATTTTCGGAGTGGAGGAAAGCTGCACACACTCGGACGATTCCCACGGAAGAGTAGTGCTGGATGGAGATAACTGTAACTATGGGCAACTGTCACCTTCATTTAGTAAGTATAACTCACAAAAATTGAGAGTCCCTTCTCACTCGGCCTCTTCTATGCAGCTGGTCCTGTCTCCTAGATTTCCCAATCTCCCACCCCGTTCCATATGAGAGCTAACCATCTTCAACTTGTTGCTAAACTTGATAAGGATGGAATTTACAAGAATGAACTCAAACAATGTAAATCAACTAACGTGAGGTATGAATTTGAGTGAGATTGGCAAACAGGTAAATAGATTCGTGCAATTAGGATTGGAATTTGGTTGGAAATGGAAAGAGGAAGGTGATTTCGCCGGCGGCAACAGGCAGAGACCAGTCTACCGCAAATACAAATACGAAGTAGGGTAAACTATGGTTTCAACGTCGGTGAATTGTATTGCAGGCTTCTGGCCCTTGAGTTTTGTTTGGGCTTTTGATATGGGCCACAGGTGGGTAATTTTCAAATTGGGAATGACAACAAAATAGAAGCCCATTTGTAATTCGGATTTAATAAACAAAGACCTAGCCGAACCATATACTGTCTCCAATGTAAATGAAATTAAATCATAATCAGAACTGATGACACTGAATTGAAATAAGACTCCACCATTCATGGAAACAAATAAATAAATGACCAAGGAATCCACCAAATGATCCATTTGTTCTCCACGGGAATAATAATCTTTACTAAAGTATAAATGTCACTACTACTATTTTAAATAGTAGACATGACAAAGTCTTGCAAAATATGAACAATAATATAATAGTTGACCATAATAAATCTGGCAACTTAGTCATACCTATGATTACGCAAACCACACTGCAGCTGGGAAGATCAATAAAAAATTTCTTGGAATACTATGTTTATCATCGAGTTTGGGTCTTCGCCATTATCATTCTCGATTAAGATTTTGAGACCTTGCCTTGTTGTAACTCTGGACAATGCAACATAGAGTTGGCCATGACTGAAATCCTGCCTTTGGAGACATAAGCCAACATGATCGAGTGTTTGTCCCTGACTTTTATTTATAGTCATGCCAAAACATAGAGCAATAGGATATTGTCTTCTAAGGAGAGTGAAATTAAGACTTTTGTAATATGTTGACAATGTAAGTCTAGGGAGAAACACACGATCACCTACATTGGTACCGGTCAAGATCTCCACCTCAATGAATCATTTTCCCAAAGTCTTAACAACCATTCTGGTACCATTGTAGAGGCCAACAGTTTGATCCATATTCCGCATCAAAATTACCAGACATCTCACTTTAAGTTTCAACTCATGATCTGGAAAGTTATCAACCTTCAATGTATTCAGAAACTCAGTAGTATAATCAGCATCCACCACACCCTCCTTTCCAGGGTCCATTTCAATTGAATCTGAGCTGAAATAAGTCACCTCATCTCCTGGAAATTTTGCTAAAATATATTCATTGATTGCAGAAACCATATCATGGTGTGATGCCAAAATAGCTCGCCTGACCAAATAATTATGATCTGAATAATGGCTCAAAAGATCATCATAAATTGAACCCACAATATCAGTAACATGATCTAATTGGCGGGGTACTAATAACTCATGCGGAATTGAAATAGTAGACTCACCAAAAACAACTAAATCCCATCACCAATTTGCAAAAGCCAATTCTGGAAATCAGCAATTGGTAGCATTTCTTCTAGGGAATTGATTGCCACGTGCTAGTCTCACATTTTGGATCAATTTGATTACCTTCAAATGCTGCCACAGGTAAGATCTCTTAATATATGAGTTGACAGTATCAGCTCGTGTACCTTTCAATACTATAGGCAGGGTTTGCCTGAAATCTCCTTTGAAAACAACTGTCAGACCTCCAAATGGTTTCTCGTCACTGTTCTGATATCGAAAATGTAATATATCCCGTAATGATTTATCTACAGCTTCCACAACATGTTTATGATACATGACAACTTCATCCCAAATAATCAAAGAAGCACACTGGATTAACTCTGCCAGTTCACCTCCTTGTACAATATGACAGGTTGATCGTGCTTCAATGTCAATTGGAATGTGAAATCGGGAATGAGCTGTCCTCCCACCATCCATCAAAAGGGCTGCAATACCAGAAGAAGCAACACATAGAACCACCTTCTGCTCTGAACACAATTTCAAACAAATGACCTGCCACAAAAAAGTCTTTCCCGTTCCACCACAACCATCAATGAAAAATGATTTTCCTTGATCGCTATATACTGAAGCCGTAATTTCATCATAGGCTACTCTTTGCTGGTCATTTAATTTGGAAATCATACTTTCAAACTTATGACGTAGACCTGTGACATTGTAGTTAAGCTCTGCAGCGATCAATCTATTAGATGAAGATTATAACATATGAAGACTGGGGACTGGTAATCCTGGAAAGTCTGAAATGGTTTTTCAATTCCTGGAGAGCAATTTATCTATCTCAAGCAAGCAACATTCTTTCAACTGAGACTCAGTCATCTCCAATGTAGGCATATTAAGTTGCTTCCGACGGGACTACAAAATATCATCGGACAACAATGTTCAATTCCGTTCCCACAATCTGCCAATATCTGAAACTTGACATAAGGTTATTATGGTTACAAATAAATCTCTAAACTTCTGACCTGATGCCCAAACAGATGCTTTAGCTAAACAACCATTCCATTCATTATTTTCTGCCAATAAGCCATGAGCATAACATGCCTTCTTGAAAGATTTATGTACAACACCATTCACTGTCCTAGTATCCTCAAAACTAACTGAACCACGAACAATGTGTAGGAGCATACGCAGGTAGAACCTATCATTTGTTGGTGAAGGATGACAGTAGTATAACCGACCAATTGAAAATTTGGACTTCCTCCTGTGCCATTCTCATTTTGTTTGATCCCAAACATAGAAGTGAGGAAATTCTACAAAAGTGTACTGCCTCGGTTCTGAAGACAATTGATTCATTTTCATCCAACCCAACAACATAGAGGTCTGAGCTCTTTTAGATCGAAATAACCCTTGAGGATTCTGGTTTTGCTTTGAGACGACAATGTTCTGAACCGGAAGATGGTAAGACATAAGTAATATCGATGAATATTGTGAGTAGACATAAAACTTGAATAACCTCCAACACGCTTCACCAGATGTTATATAACAACAATCTAAAAATGTCTTGATCTCATCGATACGTGGAGTCAGATTAGAACTTGAAGCACTCGAATCACCACCTGCAGTATTTTGGGTTCCAACTAATGACGCTTTGGCTCTATCTTGTGGTTTATTTATATATTTGAAGAGATATTTGATTGCCCTGCAATTTGAAGACAATAATTGATTACCACATATCAAACATGAATGTGAATTAACAAATTCATCAGTACATAATTGGTTGCATTCTAATTTTATTGATTAACTACTTGTAATGAAGCTATGGCATATGAAAACATATCCCTACAGAAAAGATAAGCATTAGGTAAAATACATGCATTTGATTTATATATATATATACCAATACAAAAGCAATACAAAAGATGATAATTATAATTACAAAAAATAATTATGGTAGACAAATAATTGATAGATAGGATTCAAAGTAAGTACGCAAAGTGGCATTCTCCAACCATGCATGGGATTTTTTAATAAAAACAATTGATCAATGCAAACTGCCATTATTGACATTGCAACTCCATTCACTGTCACTTGACAAACAATCTAAATAATTAGCAATTTTTTACAAAGTAACCCAACATAATTATAACAATGTAAAGAACAACAGGAAGCGCATCTTAAAATTAAAGTCGTTCAGGACATACCTCAATTTATTACAGAATTCAACATTAATATGTGCATCTAAGCACAATAACAAACATCGGTTGTACGGAACAACGAAGCGATTATCCAGAGCCACAGAGTGGACATTGAAAGATATCCCAGTATCACGTCGTCGATATTTCGCAAAAATATTACCATCAATTGTGGTTTGCTCACATAACTGCTTTGGGAAATGTTTAGTACACACCCCCTTGAGTGCAAGGACCATGTAATATAAAAAAACAATTATAGAGAAATGAAATTCATAAAAAAGAAAGATTATATAAGAAACATGACCTCTCCTTTATATGAGGAACTCCCATTCGACATGTAACCAAAGCATGTTATTTCATAAACTACGCAATTTTTTGAATTTAGCTTGGTATATATTTTAACCAAACTCTACACATGTATATATCCCTATACTAAAAAAGGAACACGTGCATGTATAATGATAAATTGCATAAATGCACAAATTGCACTCATTCCTTCACTAAAAATGGTGATGGAGAACACAACCAAAATGCTACTATTTTTTCAAACCTGCTCCACCAGTTACATGATTCAGCAGAGGTATACACCAGGTTACAACCAATAATTTAACAAATTTAACATCTAGAAAAGTAGAAACATAAGATGTTTGATGAAAATAATAGCACAAAAAATTAATAATAAATATACACATATAAAACAACTTACGTTCAGTTGTAGCCCCAAATATTTTCTTATCTCTAATCTCAGACATCAACCGGTGCAATTTAAGCTTGAATACTCTAGCAATGATATCAGATCGATTGACGTCTTTCCGGCCATCCGAGTTAACCAAATCCACCATAAATTGGATTTCAGGCCAATTTGCATTATAGGTAAATGTAATAAACAAATCAGGGTAT